CGAGCGGTGGGGTGTGTCCGCCAGCGGGGACCCCGGAGCGCGTGGGCCACCTTGGAGGACGCGTCCCGGCTACGGAGCGATGGCAGGAGCTTAACAAAGAGAAAAGTCTTCCTTCTCCAGGTTCTCCCTGCTCTGCCGGAGTAATTCCTAAAGGAGGGTCTTTCTGTGAATGTCTGTTCTGAACTCCTCGGATAGTGCGGCTTTAGTTCTGGACCGGGCTTTGGAAAGCCTCAGGCATATTTGTGCCTCTTGGAGTTTTACGTGCGAAATTTGCGCGATCACTTGGCGGAGAAGGGGAGCAGGGAAGGGCTGTTTGGCGATGGCTTGTTTGGTTGTTGGAGTCAAGAGTATTTACTCTGGAAAAAAGAATTCTTGGGTCTGCAAATTCCGACTTGTGATTTCTGCAGATCCTGATTAGAAGTTCTTGGCATGCTCGTCTTATTTTCTTTTTTGCTGAGAAAGCCTTACAATAATAGCGTATGCTCTCAAACATTCAAAACACTCCGTGTGCTCCAAGTGACAACCGCTGTATGCCTAGTAGTTGCTGACAGTTTTTTGTTTTTTTAAGTGTCGGATATGACAGTAATTTTACTATGAAAATAGTTGTTTTGTGTCTAGGGCATTTTATTCTCGAGTATCTACGTATAATGTTTGGTCTATGAGAAACATGTTTGATTTAATGCTATAGATCTATATATTACTGTAAAAATATTGTATACTCTTTCAGTGATTATTTTATTTTAAAGCATCATTGGCAAAATTACATATGGTGGGGACCTTATTGGCAAGTGGGGAGACCCCAGGATTCAGGGTTAAAGTGCATTTGAGAAACTTTTGAGAGGGAATGTGAAGAGAAAACATTAAAATGAATTTACAAATATCTCCGACTGTCTTTTGAAAAGTTGAACAGAATTTAATATATATCTTTTTTTTATTACATAACAGAATGATTTTGTAGAGAAAGTATTTCCTATTTTTTTTCTTGAAAAGCTAATTATGAGTTGTTTACTATAGTAGTTAGGTAATTTATAATTCCAGACCCAACTACTTTTCAAATTATTACATATTATTTTACACCTGAAACAGCTCTCCAAAAAGCATCCTAAATTTCTACTCTATTCAAACATTTATAACTTTTTGACATCATTAGCAGCAAATATTGTACATAAATGAAAATTAAGATGTGTAAATCATTGATAAATTTGTGAGTAAGCAAAACATTTTAACATAGGTTTTATATAAATAAGCAAAAAGCGAGCTATTCTTATGGATAGATCATGGGGGGTAGGCGTAGGAAATACACCTGATACACATACACACCCTCAACATTTTCAATTACATTATAACATCTACCAAAGTAAAAAAGAGAATACATTGGCTTTTCTTTATACCTGATCCTGTAAAACATTTCAAATCTCAGGGACAATGGAAAGTTTTACTCTGGGTTTGCTTAATCAGAGTGTAAGTTAATAATTAAATTATATCCTGTCCTATCGACTGCTTTCAATGTATAGTTCTATCGTTGTAGTAAAGAGTACCATATTTGAATACCCTTAATACAAATATTCATCTTTCCTCTGCATATATGCAATGTCTTCTTTCTCTACACTACTTAATCCTATTTCCATTTACCATAAATTGTGTATAAAATTGAAATCCATCAACTCATCTCATGAAAGGGTATTTAGTATAAATATGATGTTATGCATATACGATCTTTTAAAATTTATACAAACACTACTGGCTCATCAGGAAATTTTCTAGTTAAAGTATTAAGGTTCTCATTTCTTGATTTTTTTCCATTTTGCCTCAACTCTTTAGCTTACACCCTGACATAGCAAAGAGCACTAAAAACTGCAGGTGGAGACCATATCTTCTTATTTAAAATTTTTATTTATTTATTGGAGTTAGAGGAAGAGAGAGAGAAACATCCATTTGTTGTTCCACTTATTTATGCATTCATTGGTTGCTTCTTGTATGTGCCCTGATGGGGGATGAACTCGGCAACCTTGGTGGATCAGAACAACCCTCTAAACAACTGATAATATTTATTTTCTGTTTCCCTCCTTAGTTCGATGCTTTTACCTACAGAAGTCACTCAGGAAATGCTGTTTACACAGTGCTTTAGGTAGTTCCGGTTTTCTTTTTTCCCTCTGGTCTTCCTCGTTTTTTAACACAAGCAACAAAAGCAAACAAAAAACCAGACGGAAAACCGTGGTTGGGTCCTTATTACAGGTAGATCCCTGTACGTAAATGTAGCATGTTTGTAATCTCCTTAAGGGCAGCAACGGTTTAGGATTCGCCTTCGATTTCTCACGATGCCCACGGTGCGTCTTGTACCCAGAGACGCAATACGCTTTTGCGGAATGTAATTTCAAAATGATGTTTGGCAAAGCCTAGTGTAATAGCTAAACCCTATTCTCTAGCTCCGCCCCCCCCCCC